CTCTCACTGGATTGTAGAGGCCATCTTGCTAGCATACAGCAGCAAAAACCTTCCAATCCCTCTTGGAGTCAAAGCTCACTCCACCAGGGGTGTAGCGACATCTTGGGCCDTTTTTAAAGSGGWACCTGTGAGTGACATTTGTGCCGCGGCCAGCTGGGCCTCACCAAACACATTTGCACGATTTTACAGCCTGGATGTAACAGCCCCTTCGGTGGCTCTTTCTGTACTTTCTGCCGGGTCCGAAGCTCTACATTAGTACAGTACTTACTCAGGCACACTACTTAACTCAGGTCTGACACTCTGCAGGGCGCTTTGACAAGTCCCATATACAACTGTGTGTTGTACTGAGTGAAACGACTGAAAAGGAACGTAAGGTTATGAATATAACCACGGTTCCTTGAAGGAATGGAACGAAGTACAACACCTTGTTGGCCCCGCATCACAAAGGCTCGGTGAAGGGCGATATCTAACTGAGTAATGACGCTGGTGACTCCGAACTTATAGGGTGAAGGCGGAGCCTGTCACCCGACGTTCAACGTCACCACGTCACCGGTCTAAAGACGTGATTAGAGGTGGCTTCAGCCAGGCGCGCGTGTCCCATATACAACTGTGTGTTGTACTTCGTTCCATTCCTTCAAGGAACCGTGGTTATATTCATAACCTTACGTTATCCACCGCAACAAATGTAATTTTATTTTTTAATTTACTTTTATAATTTATTTTTTTTAAAAGATGATGAAAATCAGTTGTGTGAACAGAGAATTTCAGTCCCCAGAAAACATTCAAGGACTTTCAGGGACAAGTGTAATTTTTGTCTGTTTTCACAAACTTTCCAGGGCCTTGAAATCATTTTTTCAAATTCACAAACTTTCAAGGATTTCAAGGACCCGTGGGAACCCTGTTTAAAGACATATTTCTAATTACTCAATGAACGTTCACATGTTCACATATAAACTAATTTAGTTTAGCTATACTAACTCAATGTTAAACAAGCACTGAAACAATTGTATTAAGATCAAAGGGTTAATAATATTCAAGAATGGTAAAATGATCAATATAACAGCTTCAGAAAACAAACTGTAGGAGATCTGTGTGTAGAAATGTAATTATCCTAAACAGGAAAACAGACCTATTTTCTATTATTCAGCGAGGTACAGTGCAGTCAGTCAGTGTGGACTCACCATTATGTCCCCTTTGCATTCATACAGACAATGGTGGGCCAGCTCCTGGTTGGTGCCTCCTCCACACAAAACACTGGAGCAGGCCAGGTGCATGAGGTCCTCCACTGAAACCAACAATGATTGGAAGAGTTAAAAAGATTTGGTATCAAATAAAAATATGTAGTATGAAAACATAAAAATGTAAATGTTACACAAACACTTTTAGTTAAGCATCGACTGGAACACGTTCGTCTCACCTTTCTTCTGAAAGTCTAGTTTTTCCTCCAGTTCGCTCTGTGGAGCCCAAACCAGCACCGCTCCATGGTGATCCAGCTCAACGGCTGACCGCTGCCTCAGCTCCGGCACCTCCGCCTGGTACCGAGACCCGATATTTATTCGTCTGGGAAAAAAAGTAATGATTAGTGTCAGCACATTAGGAGTTCCTAAAACTAAATATTTTACGAGTCACCACTCATGGTTCTGAAAACTCATCAAGCAGATTTGCAAAATCCCTACTGCAAAACCTAAATAAATTTTTGAGAAGCTTACTTATAAAATAAAACCTGATATTTTTGAGTTTTGGTCGTAAAGATCAAAAGATCTTAAAAGTTGATCTGCAATGGTTCTTGTGTGTTTTGAACAAACGGAGCAGAAATTAGGGGATGCTGCTCTAATTCTTCACTGACTAACCAAAAGCAGATCAGCATCAGTCAAACCATGGTTAGGATGATGAAACCTGGAACTACAACCCTTTGATTAAACTAAAAACACAACGTGCACCCTTCCCCCACTCACTACTTATCTTGAACCAGTTATATTGTTCAAAACCAAATACATCAGCAAAAACTAACCTCATGCCAACTGTCCAACACAGCAGAGGAGGTGTGATAATACGGGCTGTTTTGTTCCCAAAGGAACTAGAACTTCTGTAGTTAGCAGACATTGCTTTACTTCCTTGTTTTTTTACATTTCTGTACTTTTTTGTACACTTTAATTATTTCTACATACCTTGTGCTATTTTAGCATTTACAGTATGTCAAACGTTTCAGCTCACTCAGGAGATAGGTGCAAAGATTTTTGCTTTTTCTAACTTTTCCAAATATTTCATTTAATTTACAAAACTTTCCCTAAATAAATTTCATTGTGATCATCTTGGTTTTCTCAAAAACATTGTTCTTGATGTACGTTTTGATGTCTTATTTTTAGTTTTTAGCTACAGTTCTGCAACTTGTGAGCTTAAAGTTGATCTTGAACTTCTCAGCAAATAAAAGGAGATAAATGTGGTGCTATCCTTCTAATTTGATCAAAATATTCTATTTCAATTCATTTGATTGCTTATAAATTTAAAAAATCCTATAAAAATCTTAGTGAACAGATGCAACATTGTTAAGAAAAACTCCTCAGCAACACGAGACTTATGAGTTCAAAGAGAATACAAAAAAGTCAAGGTACTATGAGCTGTTGAATAATTGTGACCCATCATATCAAAATGAGGATTAAGTCAAATTTGGTCAAAATGACCTCATTACGTTTTCAGATTATTGGTTTGTTTTAAAAGCTACATTTTGACACCTGGATCATTCTGATATAATTAAATCCATATATATGACTTAATTTGTCTTGTTGGTTACAATAATACATAAA